CACACAGACACACAGATGGACACACAGACACACGGACACACAGACACGGATGCACAGACACGAACACACGGACAGACACATGGACACACGAATGGGCCAGGATCTGCCCTCTGTACTCTGTCTGTCCCTCCATCTCCAGAGGGACACTGGGACACACTGGGGGAACTGGGGGGACGCTGGAGGGGCACTGGGACATAATGGGGGACACTGGGGGGACATGGGACACACCTGAGGGGCACCGGGACACACTCGGGACACACTGGAGGGACACTGGGGACAATGGGGGTCACTGGGACAAACTGGGGGGACGCTGGGACACACTGGGGAGGTCCCTGCACACCGACCACGCCCCTTCAAGCCACGCCCCCGCCAGGCCCCACCCCTTCAAGCCCCGCGCGAACGTGGAGGCGTGGCCAGCGGGAGGGCGTGGCCTAATGCAGCTGTGAGCGCGGCCTCCTGATCGACAGAGAGGGGGCGTGGTCAGCGCCGCGTCTTGAGGCTCCCATTGGTCGAACTACGGCGGGAGGTGTGTCCTCCCGCCGGGCGGGGGCGTGGCCGCTCTCGCGCTGTCCCCGCGCCCGCTCCGCGCTCCCCCATTGGCCGCGCGGGAGGTGACGCAGCCACGCCGCGCCGTGCGTGCCGTGCGTGCCGTGCGCGCTGACGTTGCGCGGCGGCGGCGGGCGGTGAGTGAGGGGCGGCCGCGACCCCCGGGACCCCCCGGAACCCCCCGGGAACCCCCAAACCCCCCCGGGACACCCTGGGACACCCCCGGGGCATCCCCGGGACACCTTCGACACCGCCACAGCGCCCCAGGCAGGCCCCGGCCCCGCCGGGCCTGCGCCCCCCGCCCTCCCCCCCCCCATCCCCGGCCGGGGCTTTGGGGGTCCCGGGGGAAAGCGGTGGGGGGACGGAGGGGGAGAGGGAGTACGGGCGTGCTGAGGGGGTGTGGGGGCTCCCGGTGCACAGGGGGGGTCCTGCGGCGTCCCTGGTTCCTCTCGGGGGTCCCCGGTCCCTGTGGGGGATCTCTGGTCCCTGTTGGGGGGCTCCCGTGCCCACCCTGGGGGGTCCCTGTGCCCCGGGAGGGGGTCGTGGGGAGGGTCCCTGTCCCCATTCGGGCGTGTCTGTCCCCACCGGGGGGAGTCCCTGGTCCCTCGTGGGGGGTCTCTGTTTCCAGTGGGGGGATCTCTGTCCCTTTGGGGGGTCCCTGGTTTGGAGGGGGGTGGTCCCTCTTCCCCGTGGGGGGGGTCCCGGACCCCACACCCCCATCCCTAATTCCCCCGTGTGCCCTCTCCCCGCAGGCTCCTCCGGGGTGGTCCCGCGGCACCATCGCAGCCGGGGGGCCCTCGGGACCCCCCCCCGCACAGCCCCCCATGCGCTGCCCGGCCCGGGGGGGCCCCCCCGGCACCTGAGGGGGGGCAGGGCCCCCCCAGCGCCCCCCCCAGCCATGATGTTCCGGGACCAGGTGGGGATCGTGGCCGGGTGGTTCCGGGGCTGGAGCGAGTGCGAGCAGACGGTGGCTCTGCTGGCGCTGCTCAAGCGGGTCACGAGGACGCAGGCCCGGTTCCTGCAGCTCTGCCTCGAGCACTCCCTGCAGGACTGCCCCGACATCCACCGGCGCGAGGCCGAGGCCAACAGTGCCGGTGAGGGGCTGGGGGGCTCGGGGGGGGTCATTGAGGGGGTCGCATGGGGGTTATGGGGTCACTGAGGGCGATATGGGGTGTCCTGCTCTGCCTCAAGCGCTTGCTGGCCGGAGAGGGGCTGGAGAGACACAGGCAGAACCTGCATTTCCCTGTTTTCTGTCCCTGCCTGTCCCTGTCCTCAGTCCCTGCGTGTCCCTGAGCCCCCTGACCCTGTCCCCGTGTCCCTGTCCCCATCTGCCATCTCGCAGTGGCCCCAGTAGCCCGTGGTGACCCTGTCCTGCTGTCTGTCCCCAGCTACCATCTCTCAGTGGCCCCAGGAGGCCACCATGTCCCTGCTACTGGCCCTGCTGGGCCTGTGTGACCCCGTCCCCCTGTTTGTCCCCAGCTGCCATCTCGCAGTGGCCCCAGGAGCCCTTGGTGGCCCCAGGAGCCCATGGTGACCCCATCCCCTTGTCTGTCCCCAGCTGCCATCTCGCAGTGGCCCCAGGAGCCGGCCGAGGCCGCCGTGTCCCTGCTGCTGTCCCACCTGCCGCTGCTGCAGCCCGGCAACGCGGCGGCCAAGGCCGAGTACATGAAGCGGCTGCAGAAGGTGCTGGCGGAGGCCATCGAGAGCAACCGCTGCGTGGAGGAGAGCCGGCAGCTGCTGTCCTACGCGCTCATCCACCCCGCCACCACGGCCGACGACCGCAGCGCGCTGGCCCTGTGGCTCGGCCACCTGGAGGAGCGCCTGGCCCCCGGCGCCGCCCCCCCGCGCCGTCCCCCCGCCCACGAGTGGCCCCCCGAGCACCCCACCGAGCCGGGCGGGGCCTGGGCGGAGCCCCCCGGGGGTGGGGCGGCCCCACCCCGCGAGAACGGGCACCCCGCGTACCACGGGGCGGGGGGAGGTAATGGGGGGGGACGGGGGCTGGGGGCACGGGCGGGGACGAACTGGGGGAGAAAGGGGCTGGGGGGGCATGGGGAGGGGTCGAGTGGACGGGGGGTGACAGGGAGGGGGCTGGGGGGGAGGAGAAGGACCCGAGTGCGGGGTGGGGAAAGGGGCTGGGGGACAGGGAGGAAGCTGGAGGGACGTGGGGACAGGAAGGGAGTTGGAGGTGGGGCTGGGGGGCACCTTGGGGGTTGAAGGGGAGGGGTGGGAAAAGGGCCTGGGGGGCACCCGGGAGACACGGGGAGGGGTTGGGGGGGGCACCAACCCTCGGTGTGTGCAGGGGGGTCTGGGGGTTCGAGTTTGGAACGGGGAGGGGCCCCGGGTGTCCAGCAAGGCTTTGGGGGTCTGGGGAGGGTCCCAGCCTCCCTGACCCCCCCTGTGCCCCCCAGCCCTGCCCTGCCAGCTGCACCCCAGCCCCCTGAAGCGCTCGCTGTCGCTGGTGCCCGGCAGCCCCCAGCCCGGCCAGGGGGGCGAGTGGGCAGGGGGCGGGGGCCCCGAGGACCCCCCCGCGGCCCCCAGGGCCCCCCCCCCGTTTGGGGAACACGCCCCCCTGTCCCCCCAGAGCAGCGTGGCCTCGTCGGGCAGCGAACACACGGAGGAGCCCGGCGGGCGCAACTCCTTCCAGGAGGACGGCAGCGGCATGAAGGGTGGGCTGGGGGAGGGCTCCGGGGGGGTTTAGGGGTTCTTCGGGGGGGGCTGCCACCTCACAGCCCCCCTCGACCCCCCAGACGTCCCCTCGTGGCTCAAGAGCCTGCGGCTGCACAAGTACGCGGCGCTGTTCGCCCAGATGAGCTACGAGGAGATGATGACGCTGACGGAGCATCACCTGGAGTCACAGGTGAGCTGGAGGCGTCCCTGGGACCCCCCCGTGTCCCTGGGCCCCCCGGCAGGGCCGTGACCCCCCCACTGTCCCCCCCAGAACGTCACCAAGGGCGCCCGGCACAAGATCGCCCTGAGCATCCAGAAGCTGCGGGAGCGGCAGAGCGTCCTCAGGGCGCTGGAGAAGGTCACTGGGGGCACTGGGAGCACTGGGAGCATGGGGGGTCCCCCAGGGTGACACTGGGTGGTATTGGGTTCCCCATGGGGGGACACTGGGATGTTCCTCTGGTTCCCCAGGAGTGACACTGGGGGACCCTTAAACTCCCCCCTGCCACGTCCTGGTGTCCCCAGGGGCTGCGAGAGGGGGTCCCTGGTGTCCCTGGGGGGTCTCTCCCATGTTCCCGGTCACCCCCACTGTCCCCAGGGGCTGGTTTTGGGGGTCCCCGATGTCCCCAAGTGTCCCTGGGGGGGTCTCTGACGCTCCCTCCCCCCCTCACTGTGTTCCTCCAGGACATCCTCGAGGGGGGCAACCTGTGGACGGCGCTGCAGGAGCTGCAGCAGATCCTGGTGACCCCCATCAAGGCCTTCCGGCCCCCCCCCGGCCACGCCTCCCCCTCCCGGGACCCCCGACGGGGCCCCTCCGGGACCCCCCCCCGACACCTTTGCCCCCCCTCCGGCCCCCGACGCCGAGGCCCCTGCGGCCCCCGTCCCTGACGGGGACATCCCGGGGCAGTTCACCCGGGTCATGGGCAAGGGTGAGTCTGGGGGGGTCACAGGGAGCTTGGGGGGCACAGGGGGGGCGCAGGGAGCTGGGGGAGGCACAGGGGGGGCACAGGGAGCTGGGGGAGGCACGGGGGGGCACAGGGTCGGTCCCCAACAGGGACATCCCAGAGCAGTTCGATGGGTTCTGGAGGGGGGGTCCAGGATTCCAGAGGGGGTTTGAGGTTTTGGGGGGAGGTCCCAGGGTTCCAGAGGGGGTTCAGGGTGATGGGGGGGGTTCCCAAGGTTTGGGGGGCTGCCAGGTTTTGGGGAGGGGTCCCTGACCCCCCCCGCAGTGTGCACCCAGCTCCTGGTGTCGCGGCCGGACGAGGAGAACATCACCAGTTACCTCCAGCTGCTCGAGAAGTGCCTGAGCCACGAGGTACTGGGGGGTCCTGGGGGGGCTGGGGGGGTTCCATGACCCCCCCCTCGGCCCCGGGTGACCCCCCTGACCCCCCCCAGGCGTTCACGGAGACGCAGAAGAAGCGGCTCCTGTCCTGGAAGCAGCAGGTGCTGAAGCTGCTCCGCGCCTTCCCCAAGAAGGGGCCCCTGGATGGCCCGCCCGGCTACCGGCCCCCCAAGGGGTACGTGGGGGGCTCGGGGACCCCCCTCAGGGGCTGTGGGACCCCCATTTCTCCCTGGGACCCCCTCCCTGATCCCACATGTCACCACAAGAAGGGGCCCTGGATGTGACCTCTCCCAACTTTTGGGGGGTCCTGGGTGGGGGTTGGGGGGGTGACCCCCACAGTGCTGGGGGTTGGGGGTATCCTGGGGGGGTTTTGGGGGGTCCTGGGATTATCCCCCTGTTCTGGGGGGATTTAGGGGGGTCTCTTGCCCCCCTGACTCCCCCCAATTTGTTCCCCCCCCCAGCTGGGCCTTCGGCTCCAACTCTCTCCCCATAGCTGGCTCTGTGGGGGGGGGGGGCGGCGGGGGGGGGGG